CTTCCCCGCCTCGCCCCGCCCCGCCGCTCCGCCCCGCCGCCCATCCCGTCGTCCCCCGCGCCGGAAGCGAGGCCCCTCCGCGCCGCCCATCCCGGTGGCGCCGCGCCGCGGCTGACGTTGGACAACAAAGATGGCGGCGGCGAGCAGCAACTACTGGGAAGGCGAGTGGGGCCGGGGGCCATGGCGGCCGCGGGGCCTTCCCTCCCTCCCTCGCGGCAGGGCCCGGCCCGCCGCCCCTCCGGCGCTGCCTGTGGGCGGCCCGGCTCCCGCGGGCCCCTCCCGGGGCGGGCGGGCCGCGCTGCCCCATGGCGGGGCCTCCCTTCCCCGACACCCCGTTCCCCGACACCCCGTTCCCGGGCCGCCCCCCGTCCCCGGCACCCCGCGGGCTCCCTGCCCTCCGCCGCGCTCACGCCGCCCGCTCTGCTCCCGCGCAGACCTCCGCAAGCAGGCGCGGCAGCTGGAGAACGAGCTGGACCTCAAGCTGGTCTCCTTCAGCAAGCTCTGCACCAGCTACAGCGGCGCCCGCGACGGGAGGCGCGACAGGTATAGGTACTAACCGCTTCCTTACGTTCCCGCCTCGCCGGCTCCCTCCGACGCTTGCCCGCCCCGCGGCTTTGAGCCTGGATTTCTTGGGAAGGCCGTTTCTTGTGGATTGTGCCGTGCTGCTCTGGACACGGTGGTCAGCCCCGCGTGAGCGAGGAGGACGTGCCGGCTGCAGGGGTGTCCGTGTGTTGCTTGGCAAAGCTGTAGTCAAACCTTGGGTTGTAGCGTGTGAACAGGCGCAGCACAGCCGGCCGCCCCCGCTGGTTTCTGCTTTCACCTGTGTGAACACAGCAGAGGGTTCACAGCGTTTCCTGAAGTTCCTGTACTCCCCAAATGTAGCTTTGCACCTTCCAGGGTGGGATTCGGAATCCCTGGTTAACGATGAGGGGCACAGGCCTGCTGTGCCGGGCCCAGGGAAGGGAAGGAGCCAGTTCCCTTGTTTTCCCTGCAGGAGAAAGAGCTCTTAGTTCCCGGGTTTCTTACAAGATAAGGAGTGAGAGCTACACATACTTACATGCTCTAGGTGACCCTCCGTGTGCAGGTTGGAGTAGGCAACCTCTAGAGGTCCCTTCCAACCTTAAGGGTTCTGTGATTTGTGCATGTGGATGTGTACCATGTGTATGTGTGACTACTTGCTGTGGACAGATTAATTCTTGACTGGAGAATTACAATAAAACTGATTTTTTTTCCGGCCTGTAGGCCAGAGCTGAGGTCTTTCTGCAGTTCCGCAGCGTTGATAATCAACCTCACTTGTGTACAACCTCTCAAAAGAACACGCTGAGTGTTGCTTGCGAGTCCTAGCGTTGCATGTCAGTGACGAGCATGACAACTGAGTGCATGTCTGTGTTGATTTTTGGTTTCAGGCTTGTTTTTACTTCCTGTCCTTCTAAACCCTGCAAGATGTGCTTTGATAGACACAAACCTGCATACGCTCTAACCCCACGTTTTCTTGTCCCTTTGAGTCATTGGGTTGTTAACATCCCTCTCGTTACCTTCATCAGGGAACTCGGTCGTGCTCCTTTGACTCATCAGAGCGTTTCTTGTTTTCCAGGACTGGGTACCTTAGTGGACTGGATATGCTAGAGGGCTGAATCATTTCTTAGGTCAAAGTGTGTGTCTTGCATTTCTAGTTCTTTGCTGTCTGTTGCTCATTGTATAATCTGATTGTTTTACTTCTGCTTTCCCAAGCAAAACTTTCCTCTTAATTGTTCTAGATTACCAAAGCAGAGAGTTGTATTTTGGAAAGGTTCTGCAGGTTGTTCTGTTGAGTAGATAGTTTCTCATGTTTTAAATTTATCTTTAAAAGCATAGGGAAGATGAACTGTATGAAACAGAAATGGTAATAAATTGTACAATTTGTGTGGCTTTATGTCTGCATAAAATGTCACTGGGAAGTCCTAGCACCCTGTTAATGTATAATCATGAAACTTATAGTATGTCAATACTGCAGTGTTGCTACTTAAAAAAAAGTCAGACTCAAAGCTTGGGGAGAAACATGGGTGCTAGACGAGTACAGCTGAGTGCTGCTGCTGCTGGACAGATGTCTAACGTTGGGCAGATCTTCCAAGCAGAAGCTCTACTTTTCCACAAGTGATATATGCTTTTAACTCTTACCTGGACTAACAACACACTGTAAGAGGAAAATGTCATTATCTGAAATTAACTTTTTCCTCTAGAAAACTGAGGTAATACAGCCTGCTAACACCTAAAACTAGCATTTCTCTATTTATTTTTTTTTTTTGCCTTAGTAAAAAGCTTTTCAGGAACTGCTCCTCTTCTTTTTCTTTAGCTCTGACACAACTCCTCTCTTAAATGGATCGAGCCAGGACAGAATGTTTGAGACGATGGCTGTGGAGATCGAGCAGCTGCTGGGAAAGGTAAAGCAAGTTACTGTATTTTGACTTAAGTTTCTAGTAGATGTTACAGTACGGAATCCTGTGACAAAAATGCCTGGGTAATGCTAGTGTGGACGGTAGGTATTTCTGGAGGTGTCTCTTATTAGAGCTAGCTCCTTCAGCTTGCATATCTTATAACTTTACAAGTAACGTTATAGCTTTATATCAACTTATTATTTATGAGAATAGTTTATTTCATGCTTTTCTCTTTCAGCTTACTGGAATAAATGACAAAATGGCAGAATATACAAATAGTGCAGGAGTCCCATCCCTGAATGCTGCACTGATGCACACATTACAGCGTCACAGAGATATATTACAGGTAACAAATACATTCTTCTTGTTTTTGTTCTGTTGCTGTGTTGGAATAATGATTGCTGGTACTATAACATACTTGTTTGTTTTGTGTATGTATGGGCATGCAGTGTACATAGGCACATTCACACATCTATACACACACACAGATACACGCACTTATATTTTTATACACATGTATATACAAAAATACCAGTTCTCCAGGAGATGTCTCAGGGATGCTCTATAACTGAAAAATCCATGCTGTAATGAGTGTGACTGACGTACAACAAGGAAAGAGTCCAGCTAACTGAAAAATACCTTTTTATATGTATTGTGAGTTCAGGATCTGAAAACATTCTTGTAACTGAATATTTATTTTACTTGGAGAAGTTGATTTTTTAAGTATTTAAGTGGGTTTATTCTTTGTATAACTGATCATTTATCAAAATACAAAGTATTAACTTCTGCTAGGCTTTATTTGCTCCTGCCCATCTCTCCATCCTACCTCCTTTTTTTCTTTCAGCTAAGTTATATTCTACTCTCTTCAATATTTAGCTACCTAAAATTAATTGCCATTGGAGATCTCTGATAAAGGAAAAACTACCCTTAGGCAGCTGCCTGGAAAAAAAAAATCAATTGAAAGTCTTGACTATGGAAGTGAATCTCATTTGGAAGTTTGTAATGAAATGTAGAGCTGGGCTGTTCCCAGGACCTGTGCAGGTTTCTGCTTTAGCTGCTGCCTCTTGTTTATGCGAGAGTGTTTGGAAGGTTTTGCAGTCTGTGCTAGTGAATGCAACTCACTTCCAAAACATGTCACATGGATTGTTTTGCACGAGTTGCGTTAGGCTTCAGTTTTTTTTCCAGAAAATCATCCATTGAAATGGATGTCTTACACTGTAAGATGTGTGTCTTACACTGTAATATTGAATGTCTCTTCTCTAGTAGAAAAGCTAAAACTAGACCCAACAGTTTGAGCAGGAGCTGGGTTGAAAAAATAGCACTTTTTTTTTAATGTTCTCTCATCAAATTGATGAAGTTTTTACACTGTTTGAGTTGTAGGAAGCTGTCATTTAAAGGGCAGTGTTTAGCTAAGAAAGAACACTATAACATGCCACCACCTCAGTGCCTTTATATAGCAAAAGGGAGAAAGCGCTATGGTGAATTCATCTTGTGGTTTATGTGGTCTGTCACATAGCAATATTAGAGAGAGGTTTAACATTCAGAATAGGAAAATGTGATTGGCGAACCATCTAAAAGGTTAAAGGGACTTGAAGGAAATAAACTATGTTTCAAATTTCTTACATTTCACAGCAGTAATGTTAAAACTGTGGGTTTTATTAGGCTAGATATATGGAGACTATTTTCTTTGGTTTCTGTACAATGCACAATACAAAAGACGTAGCATTTTGTAAAAGATATAGCATTTATATGAAAAATAGTGCTAAATATTTCTGGTGGTTTGTGTTGCACCGAACACCAAACACCACTTGCCAGTTAGATTGTCTGTCAAGAAGTATTAACTGTATTAGCTGCTCCTAAAGTTGTAAATGTAAGATTGCAACTCAATATCTTTAAAGAATAACTGTCTAAAACTGTTCAGAATTTTTTTTCATCCAGTATAACTTTTTGAAATAAACATAAGGATGTCGTCACCACAACAAATAAGTAAGTTTTACTAGTGTTTCAGCTTCAGTGATTAATGGGAAATTCCAGCACTAAATAATCCGTCCTCAAAAAGTTGTAGATACCTGGAAAAGGGAGAAGAACTCTTGGAGAAGAAAAGATCTTCCCCAAGACCATAGCTGTAGCTAACAAAAATTAGCAGATATTGTGAAAGCAGTGAGATTTAAATATGCTTTGTATTACCTTCCCACTTAATATGCTTTCTTTACACTTTTTATAAAGGGATGGATGGGTAATGTTTTAAAAGATGATCAGATTTTACCTGAATGTATTGTTTTGTTAAAGTGAACTGGTTTTGTAATAATGGTTTTATTACAGGATTATACTCACGAGTTCCACAAAACCAAAGCAAACTTTCTGGCAATAAGAGAAAGGGAGAATCTATTGGGATCAGTACGAAAAGATATCGAGTAAGTCGTGTTGTATATTGTGAATTGTGCTGTGTGTTGTAGCAACAACATCAGACTTTCCTCTGAGGAGAAGACACAGCCCTCCTGTAGGAGGAGAGTAATTGGCATACATAACTGATTCATCTGTCTCTTAAAGCAAGAAAAGTTATTTGATTTCGTGGCTCCTAGTACAGCTATAATGAGCTATAATGCAATTTTGTCTTTTTTGTTTTACTGTGATAACAAACTTGTATTTTTAAAGTAAAACTATTAAGCTATGTCAAATCAGTTTAGAAGTATCTTAACGGGGCTGAAGCTTTTCTGTTTAGTCATTTAGGAATAATAAAGCATGTAAATAGTGTCTACCCAAAACCTTTTGGTTAAAAAAAAGAGATTTTCATTTTATTTGTTTATTACATTTTAGATCATATAAAAGTGGATCAGGTGTGAACAACAGAAGAACAGAGCTATTCCTGAAGGAACATGAACACCTTCGAAAGTAAGTGCTTAAGCTGGGGGGTGTCTAATATCCTTTAAAAAAAAAATCAAGTATGGATGAAAGCTTTTTCCCTTGATAGATAGATAATATTAGTGATGAATGATTCGCAGTTTGCATTCTGTAAGAGCTCTGGTTCTTGTGCAACTGGAAAAACGTTTGTGGCTTATGCTGTGAAATGTGTGTGGTAGGTGGCAGTCACGCTAATTTTCCACGGTTTCTACTTTAGAAGCTTGTCAACACTGACGTTTTTATGCTGTCTGCCCTTTGCAAGTCACTTGTGACCTAGACATCATGCTTGACCTCTTCTGATCTTAAGAAATTATATCCCTTCCCAGTGTAATAACTAGGATAAGAGTTAAAAAACAAAACAGTCCTCGTTTCCTCTCCTTTGCTTATCAGTATTATACAGGGAAGATCATTCCTTCTCTTTTTTTTTTCCTGTTCTCTACTGAAGGTGTACACAAGGAGTGTGAAAAGACTAAATCCTAAAACAATTGTACATTTAAATGTTTTGAGATGGACTGTTAACTTATTAGCCAAGGTAACACGCAGAGCAGGAAACACTTTTATTCTTGCTGCAGAGGGCTTTAGAGTGTGATTAGCTTAGTTGTATATTCCCTGTTCATCAGTTATTTCACTCTGGATATTTTGCTTTGAAGGACAAATACAGCTTGAAAATTGTGGGAATTTCTAGTGGAATTTATTTATTAGGGGATTTTGGAACAAGTCTGTCAGTTTGCTCTTTGGCAGAACTCTAGTCTGCAAGTGAGGTCTATTTATTATTATCTATTTATTAAATGTGTACAGTGACTACTTGTGTGTACAAAGTGGTAATTGTCTCCTGTTGGCAGCAAGCAGAATACATTTGAGAAGGAAAAACAGCACATTCCAGTGGATAAGCACTGGAAAACCATATGGTAGGACTGATCTTTGTGCCTCTAAATCCTCTACACCCTAATTGTGTTAAACTCCCATCTTACACAAGAGGGCAGACTTTCATTTAAAAGAAAAACATTTGCCTGTGGCATTCTCAAATGTGCTTCCTTAACAGTAACTTAATCATCTGGTCAGAACTGCCCAAAAAGCTTTTAGGGCAGATTAAAAGAAAGTTCCTTGCTATCTTTATAACTCAATAATTCATTAATTTAGAGCTTAAGTTCTGAGTTGGTCTGAGTTGTATTTATTAATAGAAGCAGAAATCAGGAAATGTAAAGTTTCCAGGGAAAAATAAGCTTAATATTTGGGAGGAGACTGTTAACTGAAATACTGTATGTTGAAGAACAAATATATATGTGTGTGTGTGTATATATATTTTTCAATCTGGCTAAACTTTTTTTTCTTTGTAAATGTAATGATTTCTTTTTCTTGATGAGCAGTAATATCTCTTTATTTAGCAATAAATGCTAAAGAAAGATACAAATAAGTTATTTCAGTATTTGCTGTAAAATACACTTGTAAGAAACTGGCTTTCCTCTGGATGTGCTGTTTTGAAAAGTTAAAACAATGATGAGAGGAAACCTTGAAATATTTTGTAAGCAGTGTCTGGCAGACGCTTTCAGAAATTGAGTCTAGCACTCTTTGAAGTATTGATTACTTTGATCTCTTTAAACATACTAAAATCTCCAGTATAAAATATAGAATGAAAATGCAATTTCAGAAGATGGTAGATTATTTTAGATGATTTTAGGTGATCACTCAAAAATATCAAGATTTGAAAAAATCACAACATTAAAATTAAGAAAAACTAATAAATCAGTGCAAGTTGGGAATCCTTAAGAAACAGGGCCAGAACTAAACATGGAAAGCACTGCAAGGTGGCGATAACTTTAAAGTATGTGAAAGAATCTACTGTAGAAAAAGAAGAAAACCTTGGCCAGAAATCAAAAGCTTGCAAGATATTGAAAACTTCTGAATTGAGGAGCAGTAAGCTCAAAACCAGATACTGGCTAGGAAAACTATCAAAGGGTTTCAACACATTTGTCGTCAGAAAAAGCAGTTAATGAGCTATTGCTGCCAAGAAGCTGTAAAAGCTAGTGAAAGGGCTCAAGAAATCAACAGGGTCTGGCAAATTATATATATCAAATATGTTCCTACAATAAACTGATAAGCCTTGAATGAATTCTGGGATGCTGAGTGGTAGCAGTGCAGTAAGTTACGGTGCCAGGTTAGTTGGTAGAATTGAGTGATGTTACTTAAATTGATTGCAAAGTTGCAGCTGGATTTTAGATATATTCTTAATGAAGATGGGAAACCTTTGAGAAGAACTTGAATAGAAGAACTTGAATCATAAGCTTTGCCAGTGGCCTCCATCCTGACAGATAATGAAATAATGTGCCAGCAATTACATATGAGCATGGACTATCAAAGCATGCACTTAGTTGTGACCCTGCTTCATTTATATATTAAGTACTTTAGCCTTTTCCACACTTATTTCCTAACTTGCTAACAGAGAATATTAGGAATCTGTGTTTCCCCCTCTGGAAAGGATGACTGACAAATGAAGAACTAATTCTGCCTAGTGTTTACAGGCGGATCTAATTCGGAAAAGGTAGGGAAATAAGATGCGTGAACCTGGTTGGTAGCAAGGGCCCAACGTATATTAAACACCAAGGAAATTTTTGTAGCATATAAAGGCATCGCATGCCTGGAATCCATAAAACTGCTGGCCGTAAGCGGTGGGGCTGGTGCATCCCTTTGGATTTGCTCTCCCTGGGTGGGGCTCGTGCTGCATCAGCGCCCCTGGCACCGGCAGCGCTTCCCTGCTGGGGCTGCACTACAGCCACAAAGTTAGTTTGCCATTTAATTTCCGTACAAATAAGTCAAGAGTAGTCTCTTGTGCCTCTGGAGAGGAAAACACTATCACCTAGGTCTTACGTATATAATTTTTAGCACCTGCCAATTAAAATGAGTCTGGAAGATAGTAAGTTAAATGGCACAATGATGCTCTGTTGATATTTTTAGCTAATAACCCTTAGATTTTTGGCTCGGCAGTTGCTAAAGCAAATATCATCAAAGGTGCTGCAGAAATATTTGCAGGAGGTTTCTGAATATTTGTTTCCCCGGGTCTTTGTGATTCAGTAAACGTCTCATCTTTTTGTTTGTGTGCTTTTTGCCGGGAGAGTAAACAAGTCATCCTTTTTCTTCTAATGCTGTTTTCTGTCTGAAGGAACCAAATTTCAATGAATAGATCTGCCTTAGCAGTTTAGAAACTGCTCTGAAAATGCTGCCTCAGAGGAAAGAGTCCTGTCAGTTCAGGGTTTGAGAAGTTCTGCAGTTACTGAGGAACTGGGTCCTAAGTCAGCAAAAAAAAAGGAACTAATGTGTTTGATACAAAAGCACGCACACTATCGCAAGTTTATTGTGAGTGAAAATGTTTCCCTGTGTTACTACCTGTATTGCATGTGTAGTGGTGCCAGTCATTTCAGGTGATATTGATAAATTTGTGGGAAAATTGATGTGTAAGAGATTACGGGATTATTACACATCAGATTCCTTGAAAATCGAAATAAAGCTTTATGGTCATAAGCATGAGCTTGAGCACAGTTGTTCTGCCATTCTGGGGCTGTGTCAGGATGGTGCTCAGCTCCAGCTCACCAAAATAAGGTGTCTCTCCTTCGCAAGAGAGGTGGCTGGGGGTGCAGCAGCTGCCTGTGCCACTGCAGCTCTCATTAATCCTACACCTGCTTCCATCCTCCAGACGAGCTAAGGAGATGATGCCCTCTGCTCTTCTTGTAACCTGTAGCTTTGGGAACGGAGAGGGCAGCGATGCGTGAGGAGGTGGATGAGAAACTCTGGAGGAAAACAGAAGGGGAGAGAGCAAAGCGAAGAGGGATGTGCTCTGCATGTGAAAGAAGGGAGGAATCGGAGAGGCGAGCGACAGAAATGCAGGAATCTGCAGCAGTTGCATAATGGTGGTATAAATGAGACAGAGCTGATTCATGGAGATGTGTAGGATAAATTAACGTTTGGGCAGCACTTCATGTATTTAAAGCACTCTGAAGTACTTATTGGCGTTATTACTATTATTATTGCATTTCTTTTTTTTTTTTTTCCAGAAGACTATTTCAAATTTCCTGTTGTTGGGGCAGAAATGGCCCTGTTTACTAAACAATAATCTCCGGGAAAATGTCTTCAACTGTTTTCATTTGTAATAGAGTCCAAATCTTAATAGAGGGAGTGTCTTGCTGACCATTTTTTTTTCTCTAAATATTGATGTTGTTAGCAAATGTTACCTTCAGTAATGGAGAAGGCAGCTTAATGAAATGCTGAGGCACCTTATAGAATTTTTGATTATAGGTGTGTTGTCATTTTGGGGAAAAGCTTCCCTTTCCTCCTCTTAATTCACTTTTCTACTCCTTTCTCCCGTGTGTGATGCCTATTCCGTCTGCTCAGCCTCCTTTGCCACCTTTTAGGCTTCCATGGCCCTTTGGCGCTGGATTAAAACCCAAGAGCTGCTGTTGCCTTCCCTTCCACACCCCTGATTGCTGCGGACCCCAGGCACCCGGACAGGGACTCGTTCAGCTGATGGATAATACAGTAACACAGAGCCTCGCCTCTACCTTGGCTTGGAAAGAGGCCAGAGGAAAAAGAACAATTTTTCCCCAATTCCTTTTCCTTTCCCCAAGGTGGTTAGGGAGGCAGCAGGGAAGGAGGAGCGTGGGGAGCCTCTTCCCTGCGTGCCCAGCTGGCTGCCTGCGCCGCAGCCTCGGGACCGSTGAGCTCTGCTCGACTTAGACCCTCTGCTGCTTTTCCCTTTTTTAATTATTTTTCTTATTGCTAGGATTGTCTCCAAATTAAACTAATTTTTTGTTCTTTGGTTTGTTTTGTGTTTTAATACCGAATTTAACAGAAGACAATTTGATACTGACTAGTTTGCTTTAGAGCAGTTGTAAAGAAAGCAACATAGATCTTCTATAGAAGGAAGGTCCATGCTAGCTGTGGCATTTTTTTTTGAGTGGTTGCAGAGAAGCACTGAATATGGTGGAATTTGGCCACAGACA